ATCTGCTGGAAAACCCCCTTCACTATTGGGCTTTGCTGTAACGCGTGGACCCTGCGCGGAGACCACGCCGTTGCTTCCCCTCCCGCTGCCTTCTGTCACTTCTTCGCAGCAGGCAGAGCTGACGTGAGCAGACCTGCCTCCGCTGGACCGGTTGCCACATCTACTGTCAGTGCTGAGTCAGCGCTTACGGCTCTCCAGGCGCCCCAGCAGCAGCTGGATTATTTCCACGCGGAGCTTCTGCCCTCGATAAATGGAACTGCCCCTGGGGGAATGTTTTTTTTTTTCCCCTGGGAGAGCTTTCTGTAGTCAGAGAGAAGAGCTTGAGCATCGAGAGGGCAGCGGAAGGCATGCCGGTTTTCCACCCAGGGGAGTTTTGTGTGGCTCTCCTGAGCAAAAAAGCAGCAGCTCAGGAGCTGCTCTGCGAGCTTTCGGCTGCAGCGGGTCCCAGGGAGGAATTCACTCGCTGAGGACCAGGCAATGGGGAGACACCTCACAACTCAGCGTCCCCCAAACGAGCCAACCCAGCAGGCGTTAGGGTGAGCTTCGGGTGCGCTCGTCCTCCGCACAGAGCTGAACTGCACCCGCTCCGTCCCTCCCTGCCCTCCGAGTCACACGTCTCCGTCATGAAGCAGCAAGAAGGAGAAAACATGGTTGTTTTTTTGGTTCCCCCCTTGTCTTTTTTTCTTTTTAAATGACTGCCACAAAAGCTAGCTAAAGATCTTAAGAGCAGCTGCGCTATCAGAAATTATTTTTACCTCGTTAAAAAAATGTATCCTTTTAAAATGAGAGCGGCAGAATCGAGATTAGAGCTTCTAGTGCTTCGCCGGGTGTTACTTAGTACCTGTGGATCATTACATTGATAAAAATATGTACAGACTCACTTTTCAGGTTTAAAAGTGTTTTGTCCTTTTGTTTGCTTAGCTAAATAAAGAGGTTTTGTTTGACCTGTGATTTTTGAATCCAGCTGGCTTTTTAATATACGGTGACTCATACGAAGCAGCCTGCAGAGTCGATCTCGTTTCCACCGTTACACCGCTGATTTCGGCAGAAGGCCCATGGAAAATCAAGCGGCGTGGGGACCTTTCGGCCCGGCTCCCGACCCGGCCTTCCTCACCAGAGCCGTGCTCTTCCTTCTGTAATTGCTCCCGCTGAGAGGAGCGAGCTAATCACAGAGAGAGGTACCTCACGCAAGCCAAATTGCCAGGATCTGGCCTTTCGAGGCACCGCAAGTCCCGTAAGATTTTCAAGGCTGGTAATAAACCGTTAGTTTCTAATGAAAATTGGAGCTGAGGCCGAGGACTTCCTGCCTCAAAATGGTGATTTTTTATAATGAGATACTGTCATTATCTTGGCTGATGTGCAATAGAGCATCACCGGTTTTAGCGGGAGCAGGCTGGGAGCTCTTTAGAACAAGACCGACATTATTTTATCTACTTCAGAATAAGCCAAAGCACTTTTAGGGGTGGTAAAGCAGGAAATCTCATTTCCATTTTCAGTAAAGGCTACATACAATATATCATTACCAAACACCGGGCCTGATCCTTGCCCCTAGCTCAGTGTGTGTTTTCTCCCCCCACAGACTGCCCCACTGACGTGGGAACGTGAAACCCGCTGAGCCCACGGGCCCTCGGGGACGAGGCAAGATCCGTGCTCGCCCGTGGTAATGGCGATTTCCATTGCAGTTCTGCAGTCTCTGTGCGGGCAAAGTTGCCCGCTGACTTTTGGAAATACAAGACCACGCACAGTACCTGGCTGTCCCCCTAAGCTGGGTCCCCATCGGGGCTGCGTGGGGGTCAGGGCGATACAATGCCCAGCCACCAGCAAGGGGGGGTCCAGGAATTTTTGTCTTCCGCAAGTCATTTCGTGACCAAGGTAAAAGTGCCATCGTCTGACAACAGGAGGAGTTTGTGGGTCCAGATACTGCAAATGTAACACCATTTTCTCAAATAAATGTAGGAATTGCAGCTCTTCTTCTTCTGAAGTGAGCCGTTATCTGGGGAGACGACAGATTATGTAGCCTGCTTTATGTTATTCTGCTCAGGTATCCCTGCAGATCAGGACTCGCTTTGAAAATGAAAAGCAGTATTTTACTGCAAGTGAGTTGACGTCGATTCCACTCTCAGGGCTAACCAAAACCCATCAGAATACTCTCTCCTCTTTTGCCTTAGTCTTTCGCAGAAATTGTAAGTCAGCAAAAGCTTTCTGAACATGGTACATAGGAAAAAAGCCTCACATTTGTATTGTCCCAACAAAATGAATGGCTAAGATCACTGCAACCCAAATTTGCTTCCTAGAAGAGAGGAAGAATGCTCGGGGAAATACCTTAAAAGTGTCGTATTTTTAACAGGAGGGATCCAGCTTTATTTTGTAGATACAGTAAATCACCGGGGAAAGTGCTGAACTAAAAATGCTGTCATTTACTAAAAAAATGAAACAAAGCAAATAACCTGTTGGGCTAAAAAGAGAGAAGTAACTTACCTAAGTCCTTTTCACTCCTGGATTAAGTGGTTTATTACTGAAGTAGGCTTCTATCCATCTAAGTTTTCTACATCTAATTTTCATACAGGTTGTCACAGCTTAATGAATTTATGGTGAAAGTCCCTGATGGCCAGTTCCTGACAGAGTGAATGGAGGGAGGTGGCATCAGGGGTGGTGTCTAGCAGATTCTGTCTCCCTTCCTTACTTCAGGGTCTAAAAGTACACAGAAGAAATTTCTCCTAGGGCTTTTTAGAGCCAATACTGGTCTTCAGAGCCTGCACAGGGCTCCCAGGAGCCTGCTCGGGTCCTACTCAGCCCCTCACACCCGGGTGCAGGGTCACTGCCAGGGTGTGAGGACCTGCATCCCGGCACGCAGCGCTGCCCGCAGCAAACGGGGCAGGAACCGAAGGCAACCCTGCCCTGCAGTTTTACTGCGCTCCACGCAGGAACGACGAGGATTTATGAGACTAAAGCCTAGCGGTTGGCAAGTTTTCCAGTTTTACTAGAAAGTTTTGCCAGATTTCACCAGTCCGAGGCACTCGCTGTTTTTTTCTTTCAGCAGTTGCTACTGTGGGTGATGCAGCATCTTTGGCTGAGTCTGTGCAGGTTACTAGAGGAGGGCCAGGATGCTCCAGCCAGCAGTTTAGTCCCAGACCTTGCGGGGGAAAAGAGCTTCGGCACGCTCTGCGCCACCCGGCCCCAGGGCTGGAGGGCAGGCCTTACCCTCTTTTATTCACTAGCTTAGATGTAGTGTGTGAGATGAGGGCTTGAAAGACGGGGAGAAAATAAGCTTACTCACGAGCAACTTCAGAGCTGTTAATCTGAGCGGTGTTTTGACCTACCGTTAGATCTGGTTTAAATCGTATTTGTAACATCACTGCAACAGTGCCCTGAGGAACTGCGTGCCTGAAGGTATTCATCCATTGAAATGTCACATTTGTGATTATGAGAATTGATAAAAATAATGGGGCTAGCAGAGTCTGGAATACAGTTGTTTGTTTTTTTTTTTTAAATGAAATATCTTTGTATTATCAGTGAAATGATACTGGTTTTCATAATACTTGCACTCACATAAATACAGCATTACCAATTCACAGCCTCGCTGAGGCTTGTTGGATCCTTGTGGCCCCAGCTGCTCCAGCAGGCAAATGCTTGATGCATTGCCCGGCCATAAGCTGGGAAACACATTAGTCCAAAGTTTTTGTATGGTACTATGTACATAAAAGCAATCTCTTTCAGCCCTTAAATACAAATTGAAATGACAGTGATAAACTATAACATAACCGGGATGTAAATGTAGCATAACTATAACTAAATAAGCAGCAAGACTGCTTCTGAAATCTGCCGTGCATGTTATTGCTCTAAATAAATCAGTTGCTGGTGAATTTGAACTTGAGCGAAGAAGTGTTTCTGAACTCTGAACAACATTGACCTGTGATGGGCTCTTTGAAGCCACTAAGACATGGGATTATCAGAAAACTGTATACTGCTCCAAGACCGGCAGACAGCAAAGATGCACTTAAATGATTTTTCTACAGCATGCAATCCAAAAAAAGGAGGGGGAGAAACAATTCAGGTTCCCTTCAGAACTGTGGATGATAAGGAAAATCAATTTATTGTGGCATTTTACAGGTTAGACTAAAAGAGGAAAAAAAGAGCCCAGCTTAGAGTCTGATTTTTTGCCCACAGTTTGGTAACTTTTTAATGGAGCATTATCATAAAGGGCTAACTTACAGCTTGAAGATAAAAGCTACAGGAAACCTGGCGAGTAATTGTCATCGGCAGCCTATTTGACTGGGCTTTTTGTTTCTTTGGTTGCTGGAGAATAAAAAGGAGTTTGTGCTCTTTGTTACTCTCTCTTTGCCAGACTAAAGAAGAGAACAAATAAACAAGCAAGCAGGAAGGTGCCCTTCTTGGTGCAGCATTTCATCTCCATAGTGAACGATGATCACTTTAGGCGGAATTACATGGGGAGCTTTCGAAAGTAAACACAGGGACTTTGCTCACCTGGCAAATTTGCCAGCTCCCTTGTTTCTAAAAGCATCTAAACACACAAAGTTATATTGCATCTTACATGTTTTTATTTGTATACAAAATGTTATAATTTATCAATATTGTGCTGCAAAGTATAGATACACACACACATACATACACCCCACCCCTAATTCCCACCCCCCCCAACACACTCACATACAAATACAACACAAACACAACTTTCTTTCTCTCTGCCCTTTGGAAAGGCAACACTGTTTTGGCAGGTCAGCAGCTAGAAATAAGGTGCTATAATTAAGCAGTATCGGAATGTCTTCACTTTACAAATGTGATGTGCAAATTTATATACAACCACGCTTTTTTTTCACAGAACCCCAAACTCCGTACCCCGAACCGCTCTCAGAGATACAAACATGTATAAAGTGCTAATACTTAAGCATGTTTCCAACGACTTCACGACGTAGTTTGAAGTTGAGAACAGGCACTGGGTGGATTGTCACTCGGTGCGGTACGACAGAGAGAAAAGTCACTCAGACATCGCTGGGGGACCGGGAGCGAAAGGGCACTTTAGCCTGAAAGCAGCCGCAGAAGAGCACCCACATGGACCTCTGGATTTCCTGGTTTCTGTAGGCGTAAATGATGGGGTTGATCATGGAGTTGTAGGTGGCGGGTAGGAGCGTGGCGTACGTGTACACGGAAGGGTAGTCGGGATCCCCCACTACACAGTAGATGGCAAAAGGCAGCCAGCTGGCTCCGAAAGTCCCGAGGATTATAGCGAGGGTAGAGACTCCCTTTTTGGTGGCGACGTAGTGCGAAGCAGTCAGAAAGTGCTGCTGGAGGGCTATCTGGTGGGCATGCCTGCAGACGATCTTGCAGATCTCGACGTAGAGATGGAGCATGATGAGGAAAACGAGGAAGAAAGAGGCGGACAGCAGCGTCACGTTGCTCTTGGTCAAGGGTCTGACGACGCTGCAGGCGGCGCGGTCGCGGAGGCAGTTCCAGCCCAGGACGGGCAGCAGCCCCAGGCAGAGGGAGACCCCCCAGGCGCCCGCCAGCATGGTGTGGACGCAGAGCACCGTCCTCTCCGAGTAGTAGGTGAGGGCGTTGTAGAGGGAGAGGTAGCGATCCACCGTGATGGCCAGCAAGCTGCTCACCGAGGCGGCGAAGGAGGCGACGAGGAAGCCCACCGTCAGCAGGCTGACCGTCTCCGAGCGGATCACGTACTGGAAAACGAAGTTGAGGATGAGGCCGAGGCCGGCCAGGAGGTCAGCCGTGGCCAGGCTGCCCACCAGCACGAACATGGGGGTGCGCAGGGCGGGCGAGTAGCAGATGATGGCCACCACCAGGGCGTTCTCGCAGGCGATGGCGGTGCCGGAGACGCACAGCATCACGTCCCAAGGGTTGAGGGCGGCGGGCGCGGGGGTCCGCGACGACAGCTCCAGCGAGGCGTTGCCGCCGCCGCCGCCGCCTCCTCC